GGGGGGTCCCAGTGGCGGGGAGCCGGGCGCTAGCGCGAGGTTCCCAGGGGTGTGCGGAAGCGCTGCGAGCTGGCCCCTCTCTGCCCTGGAGATCGCCGGAAAGGACCTACCTTCTTAGGGGTGCATGGCTGCTGCTTCGGTCATCCCTGCACCTCCGTGCAGGAGACCAAGCGGAGAGGGTGGAGTATGCGTTCATCTGACACAGCTTGAAGTGAGTTTGGCTAGAATAACATGCGGCCAGCGTGGTTAGTTATTCTCCAGGAGGAAAAAGTTAAGAATGTAGTGTTTAACAGGAAAAGAAGAGCAGGAGGTGCCTGGGCAGCTTAGTGAGACCCTGTTTGAAAATAATAAAGGAAAACTTGTATGTAAGAAGTTTTTAATGAAAACACCTTCTCATCTCTGGCAACCAACCGTACTTTACCTAGGACGTTTTCTTATGTGCACATTAGTCTAGCAATGGTAATGACTTACACCATCTTATTTGAAGATGAGTTTATTTTGCAGAATTGCCCCTCCCCACTCTTGCCCAGCGTTTTAAGTTATAAAAGATTTTTAAATTACTGAACTTTAAGTGGCAGTGATCTTGACTGATATAGTAAAGTACTTGAGGGAAAAGGAGACAGGAAGAAATACTGGTTTCCCCATTACCTAATCAATAATCTTTAGTTTTTCAGGACTTGGAACACCTGCTGGTCTTCAAATGACATTGAAGTGCATGCTAAGGACTTGCTAACATTCTCCAATTAAAGGAAGAATAATGTTTAATGTGCATGAAAATTTATAGACGAAGGAGGGGGTGGGAAGAGAGAAGGTCTTTTTTTGAGTTGGGACTGATGAGAAAAACTGAGACTACTGTACAGTGGCTAGAAAACTATTCAGCAGCATGTTACCTCTCTGTTGACTAATCCACTGTCCTCCTTTCCTCCTAAAACCTTTCCTGATCCAGAATTCTTTGAGATGGCAATTAGGGCCATTAGAGCTCATGCTGGCTCATAATAAAACAATTACCTTCACACCAATTTGCACCTTCAAATATGGCATAGGGCTGGCAGAACTAAACTGTACTGTAACACCATGATCACACTAAGGTAGGATTGAAGAGATAAATAAGCAGAAAGGTGACAAGGAAATTGGTATTTAAAAGTTATAAGAAAAACTGCAGCTTCAGGACATAAAAGTTGAATATTCAGTCTCTTTTCCTTCCAGGAAACTCCCTCAAAAAGTTCCTAAAGAGTCAGGGACTTATGTTTAATGTTTTTTTATGTTTAATGTTTCTGCCGCCTGCTTTGCAAGCGCAAGATCCTGAGTTTGATCCCGGGTACCACACAAACACACACACACACACACACACACACACACACACATAAAAGTTCCTAAAGGTCTTAAAAAATACAGTAAGCCTGTCAGTTGGGCTTTAGATTTGTCATTTTCACCTATAAATTGTGCTTTCTCCCTTCTCAAGAAAGCAGCAATAGTAGTGGGAAGCATATCTCAAGTTTAAACACATGTAAATGGTTTCCATTCAGCGAGTGGGAATATACATCCTAGATCACCGGTCTTAAAAAAAAATGCCCCTAGGGCTGGGAATTTAGCTCAGTGGTTCGGTGGCCTGCCTTGCAAGCACAAGGACCCGAGTTCAATCCCCGGTACCAAAAAACAAAACAAAACAAAACAAATGCCCCCAGGGCCAGGGGTTTGGCTCAGTGCCTACCTCGCAAGCACATGGCCCGGAAACCCGCCTACAGATCTTGCTCTTAATGTACCCTGATCTCTCTCTTTTCACCCTCTCTCCTACTCTCTCCCCTGAAATCTGTTTCTTTGACTTTCTTCCTGTGCCTCTTACTGATGCTTCCTGAAAATTCTTTTTCCATAGCAGGAGTAAGCGAGCCTCCAAGCATTCTGTTTAGAGTGGTTTAAATTCCTCATCTCAGCTTAGAATTTTCTCAGACCTAGCCAACAGACAATATGAACATAGTGTTTTGTGACTAATTTTTCACTTAAAATGTATCATGAATTCTGGTCAGTGTTACTGTAAATTTTATTTTATTTTGCAAACTTAAAAATTGAACCCAGGGGCTGTAGATTTAGCTCAGTGGTTCCGCTGCCTGCCTCACAAGTGAGAGGTCCCGAGTTCAATCTCCGGTACCAAAAAAAAAAAAAAAAA